CGGTGGCAGATTTTCTTCAGTAGCCAGGCAGCTATGTCGAATTCAGTCATTGTCTGGAGGAGAATTCTAGCGGCCGGCTGCTAGGAATAGGAATAAGAAGTATTTAGTGTTTTATCCGATCATAATGCCGATGCAGTACTTCAACAAACGGGCCATGGGCTGCGCGTGATCTTCCATTCCTCTTCCTTGACATATTATTTCCCCTTACACTTACATGCACAACACTATCACACACTTATGGAGTTTAGAACGTGTCGTGGCTGAAACGGTGTCTCGTTGGGGGAAATATCTGGAGGATGAAACGCTCTCTAAGGCGATTTGTACGTAGGTGTCAAATCTCACCATTCCAGTGCGAGAGACACCACATTTTGACTTTAAAATATTCACTATACTAATGAGACTATAGACCATAGTAGTTCACGTGCCTAGAAAAATCAAAATCATTAATACTTTTTATTGGTTGGTATTGATTGAATGCCGACGTGTATGTGAGCGCTGGATCTCGCCCTCAGCGGGGGAAGATCAACACCACCTCCTGTGATAAAAACGTGCACTAGACTTACGGGACTAATGACCTTAGCAGTTGACGCGCCAGGCATCACTAATCAGTCCACACGCCCATGCCCTGCCTCGCACAGCCCTCGTTTAATTGAATCGCAGCAAACAAAAAGATTCGATTTCCCATTTTGCTGGTTTTAAGTTAACATTGGAAAACTGTTCTTAAAATATAAATTCAACTTTCCATGCATTAAAGTTCGTTGTCTGTGATTTCTGTGACATCCGTAGAGTGTCCTTCAACTGTTAATGTTAAGAAAAAATGTTCGATGTCCGGAACTGCTTTCCGGAAACGTTTTTGTTTTCTCCGATTCAATTGTGCAGTCAATGCAAGTAACTAATGAAAATCCAAACGGCGGTGAATTCTACGGACAGGGGTCCCATCATCATCATAATCATCATCAGTGGGCGCCTTTCCAAAGCCACCGCCAACAGTGTGTGAACATAAGAAAAGCTCATCCCAGATCGTGAGTTTAAACGCCAACGTGTGCTTCGATTCAAACAAGAGGAAAAGGTTTGACTTTGACCATAAAACAGATAGGAATATTAGGTATAATGTGCAAGTAAGTTGAATTGCTTCGAAATTTAGACAATCGTGATTGTTCTGAAAGTGATAAAACTGTACAAATTCTACCCATAGTCATTCATAATGTTAACGGCTACGAATATATATTTCTAGTTAGTGATAGTAAAAAAGTAGCCAAACACAATTTTACTAGTAAACAACAAACAGATTTGTGTCAAGTAAACTTCGTAACAATTGAAGACTACAGAGGTTACAAACAATTTTGTGATGGAAATAATATACAATATCATTATTTCAGGGAGACCTATCATTCTAAGATCTCGTCATAATTCATGGTATACCTGTAATTTACTCTCAGAAAGAAATATTTAATGAATCAGCAAGGCTTCCGTACCCAGAAACGGGCGTAACAAGACTATATAATAATAATAGAGAGCCTCTATGGTCCTGTGCTGTAAATTTAATAGAAACTGAAAATGCTAAATCAATATTTAATGAAACTAAATTGTTTTGTTCTGTAATTAAAGTGCGGATGCTAAGTGCTCCAAACAAAGTAATACAATGTAAGCGTTGCCAGAGCTTCAAACACATCCAATCAAACTGTAAATTAAATCCAAGGTGTGTTCTTTGTGATGGGTCCCATCATTATTCGCATTGTAATAGATCAAAAAGAGAACAACCTATTTGTGTTAACTGTGAGGGAATTCACCCAGCAAATAATCGTGGCTGCAAACAATTAAAAAAGGCACAATGTGGACGAAAGCAATAATAAGGTCTTTACAGTGCTCAAACTTCCAGTACGACCATTCGGAGTATGGATCCTTCAAGGAGGCCGCCACAAGCAGCTAACATTCAAAACGTACCCCATCAGTCTAAAGTAAACATGACTTTGTCTTGTCAAAATTACGTAAATCGTAATTCAATTTGGAGAACCCAAAGTCGCAATAATACAAATAATTTCAATTTAATTATCACAACAGTAATAAATATTGGCAATATAATTCAATAGTTAGTTCCGTTTCTTATTAATGACATTAAATAATAATGATGAAATGAGGTTATTAAACTGCAATTCTTATGGTATAAAACGACAAACAAATTCATTCATTTATTCACTTCTTAAACTAGCGCACATATGCGAGAAGTCTTGCATGTTAATACCTTCCCTTTCCCTATCCATTTCCGTATTCTTCCCCTTAAGAAGGAAAGTTGTTAATGAAACGTGTTTATTAGTTAAAAATGTATAAATGTAACTTCGTATTTACAAGATATCATACAAAAATAAAAAATATGCAATTGATGTTGGAAACAAATTTTCAATAAAGGTTTATTTAGTATCATAGGGAAATGTTCTTCGAACAATAAAAACAACATTTCTTCCTTAAAAACAACATTTGAAGTAATTATTAAATCTTCCTTGACAGTTGGCTTTTCTCTTTCCTTGGTAGTCACAAAAATATTAGAAAATGTTTTTTTCTATTGAGAAAGCCAAGTAAAGTTTTCGATGCGAAAATACGGGATCGGGAAAGTTCAAACTTATTCTTTGCAATATTTTTTAACTTTCCTGAATTTATTATGAGGAACAGAGGGAGTTTTAGAAGGCCAGGGTGCCAGCTTGTTGGGGTGCTAAAATCGAAAAACAATTTATTTACTAAAAAATATTGGAATATTTTCTGGGTTCTTACGTACCTCCCCTTAATTCAAGCTATTTTACTTTAGTTAATTTCAAAAGTTTGTTTTTTGTGTTGTGCCATAACACAAGCTTTTTCCCGACCATCTTCGTATACTCGTCCCAGAACTCTCGCATCTATCTATTTACATTCTAAAGCCTGTGGTCTCAAAATGTTAGTTTTTAAGGCCCTAGAACGCGTCGTTTAGGAGTTATTTAACGATATACCTGACTGACTGCTGCGGGGTGCATTGGATATGAGCATTTAGATGCGTTTTTTAAACATATCCTTCATAATTTTAAAGTCAAAGTGCAATTTGTCACGTCTTAGTGAAATTTTCTTTATTTAGAGATCTCATTTATAAAGATAGGTTACGTGTGAGAGCCACAAAAGGTACATATACTGCTGAAATAATATAGGAGATGAAATAAAAATTGCCTGCATAACCGAAACCCATTTAGGGGGAAAATTTTAAACTAATGAATGTGCAATATATAGAAACAATTGATTAACGTACTGTGCTCCGCGAGGAGTGGCAATATTAATTCACAAAAGTATTAAGCATTTTCAAATTGATCAAAAAAGCTATAAAGGGTAACAATTGTAACTTAAGTGCATAAATCAGCCTTAAATTTGGAGTATGCTATTTTATTACTTAAATATATTATTAGTCCATCACATACATATGCCTATCCGGTCTGGAATAACATAGCTGAAACCAACATTGAAAAACGTCAGATAATACAGAGAAAATCTTTAAGAAAATGAGCAAAAGCTCTTTGGTTCATTCCTAATACATATATTCAAAGAGAACTTCAAATAGAGCCCCTAAACGAATATAAGAGAAAAAACTGTGGCAATTTTTTTACACTTTTCCCATCCTCTCCTTGCAGTGTAAAATTTACAATGGGGAAAACATTAAACAATCCCAAGAGAATACGCTCGCGTTATCCGAAAGATTTGTTATAAAACCCATAAAAATAAATATCCACTATAATGTATGTTAAAAATTTGCAAAAATTCACTTCAATATGAAGATAAGTTTTGAATGTATGTATAAAAAGTATCTAGATTTAGGAATTAATAGTGTAACGTAAAAGTTGAGTATTATGTGTAAATTGTATGTATTATCGTAAAAGTATAGTATTATGTGTAAACATCCCACAACGTAGCCCAAATCTATAAAATATTTTATGGCATGATTTTTTGAAATAAGTGTATTTTTTCCACGTCAGCGTTTGGCGTCTAATATAATTAATCACGGAGAAAAAATGGTAAAAGAATTTGTAATATTATGGTTTACACTGTGGGTTTGATGGTATAACGGTGAGTGTATTGGGCTGTTGTACTCAAGATTGCGGGTTCAAACCCGTTCGAAGCCGTGCATGTTTTTTAAGGGCGAACAAATCCTTCGTCCGCATTTCTTCGGAGGGGAAGTAAAGTCGGGTGTCCAATGTACTAGATTTACTGCATGTAAAAGATCCTCAAGCCTGAAAGAAGCCTCTGAGCTAAATTCAAATCCCGAGATAATACCTTCTTTCTCCACCAGATAGTGAAAAAGCGTAGCGATACTTGCGTGGTCAGAGCAGTCCTTATGACCTGAGTTTCGCCACGTAAAATAGGGCACTAAATAAAATGCGTTGTCAGTGCGTTGTCAAGATAGTTTCATCAGGAAAATCGGGTTTAATCGCGAAATAGACATTTACGATTGACATAGTGGAACGCAACACCACACATATTGTTTTTTCAGTAGTCTTAGAAACTTCCCACCATAAGCGTGATTCCTGTTTATCATAAAAAACTGCAATTGCTCGTCACCGTACTGTACTGCTCTTACCCTAGCCTCCTTGTGTTGCCTAATGGGCATTTCATCCGTCTTACGTCCGAAGTGTGCTTCAAAAGTATTCTTTCTTCGGAGTTCATTTATCAGTTCTAGATAATGTGAATATTAATCGATTAATTCACAAATTATCCAGATACAGACAGTGGCCGTAACATGTACACTTCATGTTTAATAAATAAGAAGCAATGTTGTAGACAACGTGGTCAGGTCTGTAGAATTATTTCATTGTTCCAAATACGCCGCTATACGTCTTGCAGTGTCCGCCGGGTTTAATCGCAGACAGCTCCCGCAGCGCCTGCAGGTGCAGCCGCCGGCCAGCCGCCGCCGCCGCCCTCACCGCCGCCGCCGCCGCCGCCGCCACCGCCGTAGCCGCGCCGTCATCTGTCTTGGTGGCGCGGGCGGGCGTGCGCGTGCCTGGCGGCGGACCTCGTGGGCGTCGCGGGCGGCGGGGGCGGCGCGCCACGCCAGGCATGACTGTGACGCTCGGCGGCGGCGGCGGCGCTGGAGGTTAAAGCGCTCGGCGCGGCCGCCGCCTGTTCAGTCGCAGCGCAGCCTCCGCCCGCCATGACGCCGCTGCCCGCCTCGTTGCTGCTGTGCGCGGCGCTGCTGCTGCTGCCGGCGCTGGCCGCGGCCGCCGACGTTGTCAGTTTGGACGGCGCCCGCTGGACCGTCCGCAACGCCAATGGCAGTGAGTGCAGCCGCGCGCGTGTGCGTTTTGCGAAGCGGCGAGGTCGCGTGCGCCCGCCCGCGCTTCCTTGTCGCTCTCGCGCCGTGATGCGCCCGCACGTGGGTGCCGTCTTTGGAAACCGACCGCTGAAGGGGCAACTATTCGCGCACGTAGTAAAGTCAGACGGTTGTTGTAGGTTGCTTTAGTAAGACCACCATACCGTGTTCACTATTTCAATGGTATGAGGTACTGAATCGGAAGCTAGCCTTCTGTTGCTTTGTAACATTTTTTCATTCAGATCAATATCAAATTTATCTATGTAATTTTGTACAAAATCTAATAGAATTAAGGGAAATCTAAGTTGATAAGTTGGAAATTTGTAAATGGAAGTGCGTCAATGCTGTTGATGTTTTCCATCGTATTTCTTCGGAAAAAAATCAGTGTTTCTAGTTTGGAGAAAAGTGCTTTTTGTTTTTGAGGAATATAATGGGACATTTGAAAAAAAAAAAACATCCTGAACTTACAAAAATATACTGAACAGTACGTACATTCCTCTGACCTCACTCCACGAAAAAACGAATTTTATTTTTCAAACCGCCTGAAGGATAAGGAAAGCCATGCAGGTGCCCACTCAAAAGGGAGCAGATGAAGAAAAAGGTTAAACGTGAATGTTTGCAGCGAACGAATTTGTTAGTGGCAATGGCTAACCTCAGGTAGAGGCTAAACCGACCCGCGATAGTACTTTTCTAGATGTTTTCCTTGATAGACCAGTGGAAAAACAATTCACGTAAAACCTGGTATTAGAGTCCCTCTGTAAATGGGTTGTAATTGTAAACAAATGACAAGTGCAAGAAAGAGAGTTCAGTATAATGAAACGAATGTTACAAAGTTGCTAATGTCCGACGTGAAATTTTCTTACTTGAGCTTCTAGTAAATTTAGAGTAGAAAATGCAAGCAAGCAAATGAACACTGATCAGCAGATTATATTAGGCGAGTTGGGGATAAAACTAAGTGATTATTTCAAAATTAATACTGTTTTGTTCTGAGTATTCATGTGAAAGACCATTGCATTATCAGAATATGGCAGATTCATTAGACGAAGCAAGAAGGAAATGAGCAATATTATTACATTTTTCTGCTTTACGATGTTCGTCGTAATTGTCTATAATTGATCTATCAACGAAATTGGCGGATACCATAAAACAAGCGTGTGAATTAAAGAATTTTTGCGGGTTGCACTCAGAGCGTGAAGGAGAGGTAAGTAAGAGTGACCTCCGGGGTCCCCCAGGGAAGTGGATTAGAAGCCACTGCTGTTCTTGTCTTTAATAAACGATATTGAAACTCGATTCAAATATAAATTTATACTTTTCTCTTTTGATAAGAGTATTGGCTCCCCCGAGGATGAGATTATTTTATAAAATGATCGTAACAGTTTAAGGAACTGGACGTTCAGTATCAATATGGAATTAAAACGACAAAAAATAAATCCATTTTCTTTATTAAGAATTGCCTGAATGAGCACTCCCATTACGAAACCCACGAACTAATGTAATGTCTACTGTTTGGGTTTGGACCTGCCAAACGACTTGGTCATGTTAACAATTTCAGGGCGCTGCGCTGTGCTACACTTGTACGTTCAAAATGTGTAGTAAATATGTGGATTAATCGGCGACTCTTAACTTAAGCTATATTACGTCATAAAATTACCGGTATTATTATAAAATAGTATAACTAAGGTGGTACGAGTAGGTAAAATTGTAGAAGAACCGTAGAACTTATTACGAGGCTGTGAAATATCTCTTTCTATTCCTTATTAACTCAAGATCCAAGGAAAAATAAATTAAATATGATAATGTGTACTTTTATGTTAGAAAAACTTAGTATAAACTTGCAAGAAATATGATCCGAAATTTTGTGTCTCAAATTAATTCAACATTCACGTCTTATTCGAAAAATTAATCATTTAAGCGTAACACCGACAGTGCCGCGAGTTTTTGTTGACAGGAAATAATTTGTACATACTCGCTAAATGATTCGGAGGATATAAATTCACTTAATATTCGAGATAATGAAATGTATCGCATGCATTTGAATTAGAATCAAACTGGTGGTGTAACCATCGTAAACGTAAGTATCAAATGTTTTGTTAGTAAACCTTGTGAAATGAAACATGTGTATCACTGAGCTTTAATATTTAAAACGATGGCATTTTTCATTACAAAGCAATGGAAAACTTGCAAACTCCGTTAAAATAAACAAAAAACAATCATATCTTGGAAAGGCAATGTAAGCACAATGGTATTGCACTGAAGAATGACAGCGGGGAATCTCCCTATCTGCACTGCCTGTTGCATGAGCAGGTTTTGGTGAGTCACGCATCCATCCGATTCCGCGATTGTACTACAACGTTCTCTCCGTCTTTGTCGGCCGCCACATTTGTTTTGAACTTTCCTGATTTTAGTTGCGTCATTGTTCTTCAATAGCTCACTTTCCCGCTATAACACTTGCTTTAATGAAAAGTCCATAATACGCTTAGGAAACATTCCAAAAATAGTTCTTGTGTGTGTGTTGATGTCCTACTGTTGTGATAAAAAATTTTAAAAAATGGGGAAGGTGGTTGACGAAAGATGAACGTTCTTCCCACAGTTTTGTAATAATTATCACATAATTAACATCAAATTTTACATTAATGTTGAAGTGAATCAAAAAATATATCTTTTGTTTGCATTTTAAAACTTCTATTGAAATATATATGAAATTTCACCAGACTTACATAGCAGTTATTTTTAATTAACTCAGGAAGCTTGGGGACGGCACATTCATCTGGGGGGGCGGAGGGGTGCTCTAAGTGATCTCCCGTTATTGACCCGAGCCACTTCTGGTTATTCTCTTGAAATATATTTTATTGAATAAATTGTATTTTATTTCATACAATTAAATCTTACTGTTGCTATTTTAGTAATTACATACAATTTCAAAGAATTATGAATTATTTTAATAAAACTAGTGTCTTTTAATTATTATAATAATTAATCTTAATATATTACAATACGTTGGTTAAACTCCTACATTTATATGGAAGTAAATTTTACATACGGAATGGCGATAATTTGCATCTCTAAAGTGGCAGCATTCGCGAGGGCGGCCCTGTTGGTGGCGCAGGTGTTTTCGTGCGCTGAAAGCATTGGTTAAGCGTAACGTGAGGTTGGATGAAATGCGCCGCAACTCGCGGGCGTGTTTTTGTGGAATGAGCGCCGCGGGAGGAAAACTGCCTCAGTGTGATTTATCAATCATCTCGTGATTGATTAGCCGTCCAGCTGTAAAGTCAGAAATTATAATTCTCGTCTCTCGATGAGACTAAACAATTTTCACAATAATTTAATATTTTCAGATAATCATTAGGATGATCAGATCCCCGTCGCCCTTCCCAAATTCCTCTTTACTTAGTGGGAGGGGACTACCCCCTCCTCGTGTCTCAGATGAGACTGGTAGACCCACCTCAACCTATGATTATTTTTCTGCTGAGGTACTCAGACGGCCCATTGTGTATTGTCGTTTCTGGAGAAAGAACCAATGACGATGCCTCAAAAGCGATAAAGTTGATTTGAAAGGTGTTACATTATGGGTAGTGAAGCCTCATCTGGCCACAAAGCATAGGGTCTAAGCCTTCATGCTGTATTCCATTGCTCAACCAGAATGTAACAGAAGTTACATTCTGACGAAAGTCCGGTTGGGGTTTCTAGGCCGATCAGGAATGCAAGAAGATACATGAGTGGTAAGATAATTCCACCATCCCACAACACACTAGCTCGAGGTGGGATTCGAACTCGCAACTCACAGAGTCGAAGCTGTCATGGCACCCTCCCTTAATCGCGGCCATACAGAACGACTGTATTTTAAACTATTTTTCATGAAATTGTGGTTAGTATGGGTAGGTCGATAAAGTTACCTACTGTTCTAACGATTCGGCCATTTATTTGGTCTGCTTCAGAGCTAAATGAGACATAATATTAAATTGGTTATGGAATAAGTAATGGTACAGATTGAAAACAACAATAAACACAAACAATAACACAACAATTTCTATTAGAGACTATTAGTGCGTAAATGTAATCTAACATTTCAAAATTCAGCTACCTCAAACATTGCGCGACAGAAGTCCATTAGCACTAGCCTTCAAGATAGGCAATTTCATTAAACTGGAGAGGTCAAGATCAACATGGGAATGTTACTATTATTACCTTTTTTCATGAGAACACTTTGTCAATATGAGCCTGAAATATTACTGAAACAAATAGTGATTGAAAATATACGAAATGTGGAACTGAGTATTATTACTTCACGATACCCTTTTTATCTAGTTAAGATATAATATCCAGTAAGGAATTCCCATTGTATTTCCCTTGTCATCACATTGAAATGTTTACACGCGTAAGATGTAAAGGGTACTATTGAATGACCCTCCTTGGGTCGAAGTACAGAGGTACGTTCCATTATCTTAAGAAAATAAGTGTTTTTAAGAATCAAGAGTTTGTCATCAAAGCTTTCAAAAAACACAAGTACGGAAATAAACATTAATTTATTAAGATAAACACTTGAATTTTGAACTATTAGGAAGCTCAAGAAGTTAGATATGCTCAGATAAAAAGAAATTTACTTTTCCAATGGAAAGGCTAGATTTCTTGATTTGTGCAAAGAAAGCCTTAGAGATAAAAAGAAGTAATCAAAAAACAAGTTTTGTTTTCCCTACATGCTCATTTTTCAACTTATGTTGGCTCTCAACCCATATTGAAATAGAGTAAAGCACACACACACATATATATATATATATATATATATATATATATATATATATATATAATATATATATATATAGTTTTGGGATATAAAATAAAAAGGATTCTTTCTAAACATTTTACCTTACTAAATTCCAATCTTTATATCAACCTTTATAATCGTCTTTAGGTGGGATAATGCTGAAGTATCAAGATCACATCATTGAACAAAACGAACTAACCCAGATGTGTATTTTCGCTCCAATAAACATTGTATGAACAGTTTGTATGCAGTGTTTACGAACGCCATTCTTTGTTATTTCTGGATCAAACGAAACGAAAAATCCTTTTAGCAAAATTATTATGCTTGATTAAGGGCATATGAACTAATAATAAAGAATATTGCCTGAAATCATTTACAACTGAATTGCATTAGCCTTTCTTGTATCAAACTTGATATTAATTTCTACAGTTATTCTTTCTCAGATGTATCCTTGTTTGCTTTTAATCATAACGAACATTGATTTTTGTAGAAAGGTATTCGTGAACATATGAATCGTTAGATATTTGATAAATAATATAAAAAGCTTTTATTAGATCTTCTACACGTATTTTGAGAACGTTATCTTATATTTGATGCTTTGGTTATCTGTGCACAATCTTCTTTGTTATGAGCTATGAAATTTGCCCTTTTTCGTCATTCTGGGTCTTGAATGTTTTCTTTACTGAAGGTATGGCGTTTTGGTAGTCACTATCAACATTAACTGCAAAAACTTGATTGAAGTAGAGGAAAATCACTTCGATTAAACTAAAAAAATTAATGTCACATTCTATCTACCAATCGATATATTGAATATTACAGGACTACATTGCAATATTATGCTGTTCGTAGATAACGCACACGTAGTGTTATTGGGAAACAATTTTCCAGTTTCCAGAAAATGTTGTTAGAGGGACCAAAACAATTGATGTACGTGTCATGAAAGGAAACTAATACTAAGTTCGCGCGTATTTTGATATAAAAGAACTACAGAAGCTTGTTTGCCAAAGGGTATGAAATATTTTGATCCAGTGAATAATGATATCGACAGAAAATATACACCTCTTGAGTTTGCACAGAGACAGTACTGACGCTGTCCTTGCAGCAACAATGAGCGGGAGATTATAGGATTCGAGTTTTGACTGTGGAGTTTTCGACACCAGCGAAATAGCTAGGTCGAATTCAGCCGCTATCTATAGGAGATTTCTACCGGCCATCTGCTCTGCTTGAAAGTACTCTGTGGTTTCCCTGATAAATACCAAGCGAACGCCAGATCAGTAACAAACTGGAACATTATTCAATCTCAGCTCGGAAAGATCAATGAATCAGAAAGAAATATAACGAACGTAATTTAGCTTTGTTAACTCGGGCCTAATAGTTTTTGTTTTTTTTGTGTAGTGTGTTCAGTCCTGACGGGTTGGTCAATTGCAGAGAGGGAAAGTTTCTTGCGCCACAAAGTTTGGCAGGTGGCAACTACCTTGACATCACTGTTTTAAGAGAACGTGAGTGGTGGATCCCTGTGCTATTTGCAGGCGTGAGAGTGCCGGCCACGGTGCCGGGGGGCGTGTACACGGACCTCCGAGCGGCCGGCGTGCTCTCCTCCGACTTCTTCTTCGGGCACAATGACGAGCTCTACCGCTGGGTGTCCTACGACAACTGGACTTATGAATTGACCTTCGAAGGTGAGTACGAGCCCACCTCTCGATGTTTTGTCATTCTTATAAGGTGAAAATGAATGCAAGCTAAGTCGATTCAAAGCAAGTTATCTGATATAGTATTTGATATATGAGTTTCGTAAATTTTGATTCAATCTTTTCAATTAGGGAGGTTTTTAAATTTTAATACTTTTTTTTATTACATGTGTAATTTGTTTTATGTCTTTGGCTTTCTGTATGATAGAAATTGTAACCATACACTTCCTATACTGTATTAGTGGTATGTAACTATAATATTATTTGCATTCTGCCAATATTTTGCTTGGATAAACGGCATTAGATGTTCGCATGTGTTTACATTTAAGTCCTTATTTTATGTAATTTGTACATCCGTTTTAAAATGTTAGAGTATGTTACTGGAATTTGCCTCTTTATTTTGATAATAATTTTAAAATAAAAGTGTAGGAAATCAAACTTTCGCTGTAATTTATTTCAACATTTTCAACAAGTTACAAGTCGCGTAATCTGTAGATAAAAATGCGAAGGATAAAGCTTACTTTTTTTTCAAAAGTCAAAGCAAGTAACGCAAACGGACGAGATGAATTAAGGGATAAAGAAAATGAGAAACACAAACAAAGAAAAGAGGTTGATATGTTATTTTTCCGAAGTAGAGTATTCTGTGTGGCTTCTAAACTCTTTAACTCATCTTAGTGAAAGGGGAAAAAATAGCAAAAATATAATAAACACTAAACAATATCTTGGCATAGTTTTAAAAAATTGTTTCGAACCAATGTTTGATTCAATAATATTGCAAGTCATTGCCATCCTTAGACACGGTCGTAAGAGCGAGGAAGGGTCTCGCTCTAGAAAATAACGCCTGCAGTGTAGAGCACAATATTTTGATAGCCCCTGGAGCATTGTTGCTATTCGCGTGCCCCGCGTCGTGTCGTGAGGCGCATACAAAGTGGCGTCGTAAACAGCGGCGTCGGGCGCCGACGTCCCTGCCAGCGATCGTCGCGCAGCGGGGCAGGGCGGCGGCGGCGACGGCGTCGCCCCGGTGGCGTCGGGCTGGCACCGTTCCGGCCTGGAGGGCCGTCGCCGCCGCCGCCGTGCGCTTCCCATTGTGTCGCCTCCGGCCGCGCCCTTCCTTCTCCTCTGGGGCGGCGCCCAGCCTTCGTGCTGCCTCGTCCCGTCATGTGACGGGCGCTAACTGCTTCTGTTCCCAACAATACGGGCGCGAGCGCAAACGCGCTGCCTTTCTCCCAAAGTGCCTTGCGTTCGTTCTCGCTTCACCTGAAGCACAGCCCCCCCCCCCGTGGCTTTCTTTTCCTTGCTCCTTCTGGCCTTGCCTACGCTCTATTGCGTTCAAGCATTCGCGACCCTGTAACCACGGAGATGGCAAATTCATTGAGGCCGGAAGGTTCCCACTTTCAGGCGAATGGGAACAGGTTTTCTTAATGTGTTTTAAATGATTTAAAAAAAGTCGTCTATATTTAGATATCGTATTTTCCGACTTATAAAAGAAATTTTCTTGATAGAATTATTATACTACTTTTTGTTCACCATACTTATTTTTATACAATTAATTCGTAGTTTTCTTATTTTATTTAAATGTAATTTTAAAGAGGCATTTTATGATGCTATTGATTGAATTGAAAAATACTGCATACATTCGTTCGATTAAAACGTATGCAATTCTAAGATATTAAATCTAAAGGGATTTTTATTAATACGTTTTAACTGAATTCTTAGAGAATACAGTAGAATTATTTCACTTGAAGCCTTCACTGATGTACTCGCCCACTTAAACAAAGATTTACAGGACGGGCTGGGAAGAATTTTTGTAGGTTAGGAGGAACTTTTGAAGGTTTCAGAAAGAGGTCTTGGTATCCACTGTATTACAATTCATTGTCAGTTGATCTCTGTACATTACATCTTATAAAGAATATTTTTGTAGTCTTGGTTAGAGATAGTTTCAGTAGTGGAGAATGAGTTAAATTTGGGATGATGCGAAATCCATAGGCTATTGACTATGACACCAGGGGAGCGTCGCTCCCCAATATTTCAAAATTTATTGATTTTTACAGTTATTCAAAACGTGTTAATATAAAATGCCAAGTACATTTTAAGCTAGTGGAGATCGCGTTATACCGAAACCATTTCTTTTATTAACACTAATTACAACTACTCACATTTTTTAAAGTGAATGACATCATTTAAAGATTTAAAATTGAGGGGTAGATTGCATGAAAAAGAAATCTCTGGCTATAATATTGGAGATTTAGGACAGGTTCGAACATAAATTTCAACTTTGAAATTTTCAACATTTCGTAGATGTTCTAAAAAATTAGAAATGTCACTCTTTTATAAATGCACTTTCTTTTATTCAAGAAAAAATATAGAAAACAATTGTGGCCAATAGTTTGTGGCCAAGGGCTTCAGGTACCCACAAAATATTTAAATAGTTAAATGATAACAAGAATAGCACAACTAAATGTTATTTCTGACGCATTTACCAAGATTCCGTTCAAAAGCTTCTAATAAGACATGCGTGACTTGCATCCATTCATACAAACAGACATCGATTTTCAGTTACAAAATTTGCCTGTATCTTCTCGTCGCCTGCGCCAATCGTACACCTTACACGCATATCTTGCAACCGAAAATTCTAGATCATATTGTCGAGGTGATTCCAATAAATTTACTCTCTATACTACGCTTGTAGAAGCAGCAAAATGTTGGGAGAGCTATTCTGAAGAAATTCTTCCGGGCCTCTGCTGAAACGTCTGTTTGCACTTTGTCACTCTGAAAATATTCAAATACATTGACATTTAGCGTTCTCAGCGTAAAAATCATTAAGTGTTCAAAGAAGACTGATAGCGTTAGCTGGTTCTGGTGAACAGAAAGCGTTCTCCTTACAGCTTGTAATTTTATTGAGTTGTGAGATTCGCAGGCGGCTTGGGAGTAAATCCTCTATGGAACTGTAATGCCAACTTGACGTAATAATCTATCTTTTATGTGCTGTCAACACTCGCGTATTGCTTCGCTTCTACACATGTCAAGGCGTGTCGCCTCGAAACTGCTCGGCTCCAGATTCTCAAATAATACGATCTCGTCGCATCTTATGTGAAAAAAAGCGGATTCCGAGAAGTTATTACAATGCACAAACTGCTTCGCCGGTGGACCAGGAGGAGTTGCAATAACCGGTCATCTTTGAAAGCCGTGCAAAGAGTTGCATCCCAAAGAAATGCTATTCATTTCCTCTGTAAGTTATCCGGCGCGGTACGTTTGAAATATATGTTCTTCGCTGTTAATTAGCACCAAAGAATTGTTATAAATGATTGAATTCCCAGTATGGCGCTAAATTTGAATTAATTTGGCCGCCTATGCTGAAATGGTATAGGTAGAAAAGTGAAAATGTAGAATCAAATTGATTAATAATAATGTTTAAATATTTTCATTTATTAATTATAATTAAATTATGAATTATTTATATTATTTTATATTTTATCTCATTAAATGTATTGATTATAATTAGTTTATAAATAATAAGTACAAAAATTGAAACTCTACAAAAGTTCGAAATATTTTTATTTCACAACATTGCAATTTAAGAATTTTCAGGAAGCGTCACTTATGTTTGGAGCCACACTGCACGTGAGATAGTTGTAGATAGATTTAGTAGATTGTTATGATTATGAAAAACGTATTATTATTTTAGTGATGACATAGTTATTTTCGAAGGAAATAATATATTGAAAAGCTAGATATTAACGGTAAACTCGTGGAAGAGAAGATTTTTTGCGTTTTCATATACAGGCACGCACAGATAAAATATTACGCAGATTAATGAGCTAAAAACATAGTTGTGAAAATGCTAACATATTAAACTGCAGAGTAAAGTCCTTTTGAGATGCTTATTTGAATTGGATCCATGTTTAAACTCGCTTAAGCACTTGCGGAGCTACTGCGCGTTCGTGCGTGGCGCTGTGAGCAGCCGTTTTCGCAGTTCATCTTTTTGCCGGAAATGACGTAAAGCACCATAATAGAGCTTGACGTTTTAACGTAGTGGAAGGATGTTTGTTCCTTTTGAGAGGATGTTTTGCAAATAAATTAATGAGATGTGTAGAAGTCAAGTTTTCCTTTTCTCCGCAATGAACAAAACGTACAAGATACGTTTCCAGAAAAGAATTAAAGGGTGATAATGCGAGAGAAAATTTATGGAACATAGGAGTTGGTTGACGGACGACGAATGACGTTACTTAGTTGTTACACGTTTTAGTTATAACTATTAATCTTTCTCAATACTTAATATTGTATAACGTTTTTAAATATTGAAACTCTGATTTAATGTTTTTCGGTAATGCTCGAATCTTCGGGGTGTCGTGTGGGACATCTTAAAGTAGAAGTCAAGCTACTCAGTGGTTCTGAGTTAAAATTTATATTAGCTATAACAATTAGATTTCCAAATCGTTTTAAGATTAATTTTAACCTTTAATTTATACCCTAGAATAACCTTCTGTGGATTTGCATCGATAATTAGTTTACCTCTATATTGCAATACTTGAAGGTGTTGGTAATTAAGGGATAAACAGATGTTTCTTTCAAAATGGTGATTGAATACTCTCAAAGACTATACTAGGTACACAAAGAATGCAACAATATTCAAAAGGAAAATGCATTTAAGTGTTCCGCGTTTTCAGCACAAATAATAGACTACATCGCGGCGCAAAAGGTCTTATCTTCGCATTAGATGGAAATTTAGTCTCCAAGACCAACTCAGTCTTTCTCAATGATCTCGAGCAAAATTATTGTAGATGAAGAATACATATTATTGTTCTACACCGAGATCGGGTTTTGGTCACTCAAGTATGTAACTCACTAATTACACGAGGAAAGAGAAAAGCGGAGGTATTGTTAGTCCTGACAACAATTAGATTTCATATTTACCGTATTTAATTAAAATAAAGATTCCCATTCTTTGTTAATTCTTTTCTGTAAGTTTATGTAATCATAACGTAATTTTTGCTAGTTATATTTTCTGTGTTACAAGTGTTATGCATAATGTTTTGAATGTACGACAGGATGATATTTTGTAAAACTGCTACTTGTGTTATAAACACTATTTTCTTTGTCTGACCAACTTTGCCTCTCAAACCAAATCTCGGTTTTTGTTTTCGTTATAAACATTCGTAAACTGCATCCGAGCTCAAGCATTTGATCATTCGGGTGCATTTTCTATATTCGTTAACGTATGTGGAAATGAATCAAATTTATTAGAAATGAAAATAGTTATTTATGCACCAAGGGCTCTAATGATCGAGCGGCGACAAAAAGCGCTAAGGCCTTTCTCTGGAAGACTTTTGTCATCCGATACCATTAGAACCAGTAAACGCCCCAGATACATACAAATGTACATTATTTTACTGTAATTTTGTACATTTGCAAATTTGTACTTTATTTTTTTACGTAGTTTTAATGATTTATATTGTTTTATTTGCCAACATGACTCTGTGTTTCGTTTAATATTTTCACTCCCTTAATTCCCTTTCGTAATTTTCTCTCATAGTTCTCTCCAGAAGAGAAGATGTAGTGCCATTCAACTGTTCTCATATTTCCCTCGTAAACCCGATCCTCTCGATCCAGGTCAGTTATGCTGTGTATATCGAAGGCAGTTGCAAACAATAACGAATGAGTAAAAAAAAAAAAAAAGATTTGCGCGAGCGCGCCCTTGCGCTGCGCTGACTGCGCCCGCGTGCCCCGCAGTGGACGAGTCGCTGCTGCAGCGGCGGCACGCGCAGGTGGTGCTGCACGGCGCCGACACCGTGGCCGAGGTGTGGCTGAACGGGCAGCGCCTGGGCGGCGTGGAGAACATGTTCGTGCGGTACGCGCTGGCTGCGACGGGCGCCCTGCGCGCCGGCGCCAACCGCCTCGCCGTCAACTTCACGGCGGCGCCCGTCGAGGCCCGCCGCCGGTACGAGGCGTACCGGCGCGCGCACGGGTACGCGGTGCCGCCCGAGTGCGTGCCCGACGACTACCACGGCGAGTGCCACGCCAACCACCTGCGCAAGATGCAGGCCTCCTTCTCCTGGGACTGGGGCCCGGCCTTCCCCTCCGAGGGCCTCTGGTGAGTGCGCTCCACGCCGTGGCCACGGTCACGGGCGGATCCGGGGGGGAGGGCAAAAGCACCTTCATTTATTTGATTTTTTGAATTACGTAATTATTTAAAAATAATATTGTGTAGTATCATACACTTCAAAAATTATATGCTATATAATAACAAACAATTATTATTTAACAAAAATCTACGATGACCCTCTCCAAAATGATCGGCTAGATCCGCCCCTCTCGAAGGATCCGTGTGGGAATGTGAGGAAATATCTTTAATATGCAATGCATGTGATGTCTTTTATGAATGAGAGAGTGGAAGATGAAAAGGCTGAGGGGGAAGTAGAATTGAGAGTACAAGAAAGGGTGAAAAAGAATATGTGAGTGAGAAAGAGAGGTGTGCGTGTGTGATTAATGCTTGCGACTCGGTGTGGATGTGTTTGCGTTTAATTTAGGTGTGTACTGTGCGTACGTTTGAGCATATGTGTCAAAACATTTCGTTATATGGTCAACCATTTTACCGAGCTTCATTCTGGGGAGAGAGATGTATTGCGGTTGAGTGAACTCCATAGGACGCCCATTTGCGTTCGGATGTTTAAATTTAGTAAATTGTTCAATGCCGTCGCCGAGAAATGAATGAGGGAAATTGATGCAGAATGTACAATCAATGATTTAGTCAAGAAGTTAATGCGAAGCAGTGCCTTAGCAAATAATCGATCAAAATACTTTCAATCGGACATTAGTTAAGTTACGAAAGTAATTCTCTTCTTGATAAACTTATTATTTTCAATTTCTTATGTTATTATTGTCTTATTAATACTGAAATTAGTTTAGTTTGAAAATTTGTATTTTTTGTAGTGCCTGATGATGGGAACGAGTGTGGTTCCGAAACTTTTTTATAGGTATACTTTCTTGAAGAAGGCTTTAAATTTTGAATGAAAAATAGTAATTATCTGGGTTCAATTATTCAGAAGTGATTATTACGAAAACATGTACTGGAATAGCAGTTTCTAGTTTCAAGTTTCGTTGCTTGTAGTTTGGAGCTACCGGTGTATTAGCTTTCGTCATTAGCATGCCCAGTTCACGCTAACAACGAACTGTATTTAGGTGTGCCGGAATGTTTGCGTATATTCTTCATTTTCACGTTCGGTCTCTGAACTCTACTAGGGAAACACACCGGCTGCGATAGGTCACACCATTTCCTATAAAGAAACGTTGGCGAGAAGTTCTAGGATTCTGGTCCGACGGTAGCGAAGTTTAGACACTAGCTGGTTCGAATTTAACTGTTCTGAAGAAAATTCTAGCAAGTGGCTGTTATGAAGGTATTTTTCTGTGGTTTGACTACCAGGCGAATGTCGGAGCTGTTCCCTAGCAAACGGTCACGAACTGCGTGTAATGTTTCCTTCCTCATCCTTGACCCCCTTCTTTGCTTACAGACAGACTCACACACATACCCTACACTACTACACATGTCAGGAGATCATTCGGGAGTTTACTGCTTCCCACAGCGGTGACCCGGTGGGAAGATCTCTGGAATGGGAAAATCACCAATCCGACTTGCAGGTTGACACCGGATCTCACGCGCTAGCAGGGGTAGAACACCGCCACATCTCTGGATATCGTGCACTACAATTACGGAACTAATATCCTAAGTAGTCATTCGGAATCAATACTCACACGCTCACTTGCAAAACCGGCTGCTAGAGCAACGGAAAACATGTTGAATGTTATCTAGATCTATACAACTTTCATTTTAGTGCAAGTTCCTTATTTCTTTCATTTTAGAGCAAATTCATTTGGATAAAAATGGATAAATATAAATAAAAAATGAATCGGTCATGAAATTGGTAAAGGAATGATGTGTGTATAGTTTCTTATTCATAAAGAATTGGGAAGCGAATTAAGACTTTTCAGACATGAAGTATTTTTTTTACTTAAACCTGCAATAAACGCTGATAATACCGCTCGAGAAATGTGGAACTCATACGTCAGCATAAAAACAACGCCACTGCTCTGTATCAGAGTGAAACCATTAACTTTTCTTAGAATGAAAACATTATGTCATCTGTAATAGTGTTAAAATAACAAGAATAATACACAGCATCTCATTTCGGTATCTCATTAGAATTATCATAAAAATATCAATATTTTCTTCATCATATTTTTACTTTCAAGTTTATTTCTTACTCATTGAAACCGACAGTTATCTTTAAAGTATAAATAAAAAATGTGTAATTGAATTGAAAAAAAATCATTGAAGTCATACATTAATCTGTGAATGGGAAATCCGTTTTAATTCTCATTCAAAGAAATTGTATTGGGAATTTTACCTTTTCAGGAGCACAAATTAATCATTTGCACATTTGTCGATTATTTTTGGGTAAATTCTGTACAACTAACTTACATCTGATATCACCGCAGCTATAAAAACTGATAATCTACCATAATGTAACTTCGTATACATAAAAATCTATGACCTGAATCCACAGTATTTGAGCAGAGTCACAACGACCCTCCCACCTTAAACGGCACTGTTACCTGGAGCAGTGTCAAGCATCATCATCGCCATCAGCATCATCATTGTCAGGGAACCAATTCAGAAGTAAATATATACGTTTATAAAGGTACAAGATATGTTTTATATTACATCGTGCCTGTTAACCTCTTTTCCTCTCGGGAGTTTTGAAGAAACACTACGTAGGTGGTTGTATCGCTCACCCCACCAGATGAGACCGGCTATAGTGTGGCCACAATGGTTCTTTCCAAATTTCTTCTTTCCTTCACCTGATGTGAGTCGCGGTCCCTTATATGCTTCTTACTCTACCTTACAATAGTAGGCCTCGGGCCCATCGACTTCGTGTGACATATTTAAAGGTACACAATACATGCATCAATTGTTTGCGAGATATCTTGAATTAATTAAAAAACCTACATCGTTATTGTGCCTATTTAGTCGCTGTCTGGAGGAGAATTCTAGCGGCCGGCTGCTCTGATCGGTGGTTTTCCCTGGTTTCTCCGATCAACACCAGGCGAATGCCAGGGCAGTACCCTACCAAACGGGCCACGGAAGGCTCGCTAACTCACCTTCCTCTTCCTTGCCCTATCCTCGCCCCTTACACGCACTTACACTAGCACGCACTACACTCCCACACATGTGGGGAGACACGTCAGAAGCTAAGAGCTTGTCCCGGCTGGGGCGGTTCTCCGCTGGTGGGAGATCCCTGGTTGGGGAAAAAGTCCGCTAGGCGACGGTAGGTCGGCGCCGAATCTCGCCACACAGCGGAGGAAGTTCACCGCGAGCAAAAAACATGCATTGCACTTATTAATGACCCTGTTAGTTGACGTGCCCGGATTTAATTCATTTCAATTCAATTCAATCAATGAATCCATTATTGTGTCCACCTGCTTCTATGTCCCATCCCCTTCGTTTCCTTGTAGCTAATAAGCTTCACTTCATTCACAGCCTGCTTCGTATTTGCCTTCTTATTTCTTCCAAAGGGAGGTAATCTGGACGAAACAAATATAAAGAATACATACAAGCGTGTTGCTTTTATCCTCACAACCATCTCTCATTCAAAAGTGTATATAACACGAGGCGTTTTATTGATTCGCATATTAATTTATTTACTGATTTATTCATTGCTTTTCTCTGCGAGAGAGTGAGCGTGTGAGCGTGCGTGCGCGTGCGCAGGAAGAGCGTGGCGCTGGAGGCGTTCGACGCGGCGGTGGTGCGCGACGTGATCGTGCGTTTCGCGGAGCCCGCGGGCGAGCAGGGCGCCTCACTGCACGTGCGCGCCTTCCTGGAGCTGGGCCCCGGCGCCGCCCCCCTGGAGGGCACGCTGGCCGCCACCCTGCAGCTGCCGCAGGGCCCCGCGCGCGCCTCCGCGCACGTGCAGCTCAGCCCCGACGCTCGCGGCCACGCCGTCGCCGACCTCACCGTCTCCGGCTTCGACGTGAGTGCCCGCGCCCATGCCCGCGCCCATGCCCGCGCCCATGCCCGCGCCCATGCCCGCGCCCAAACCTGCGCCCAAACCTGCGTTCAAACCTGCGCTCACGCTCA